GTAGTGTCTGTCTTCCCTGTTGTGGCCATGTTTGCAAGCAGGTGATTGCGCCGACTTCGAGAATGTGTGGAGCTTCTACGCGGAGGTAAGTGCAGCTGTCAATGGTGTAACATTGGTGGACCCTTGATGGCCGAGAAACATGACTGTTATTTAATTTTACACGTCTAAAGTGGAGGGCATTGACGGGATGGTGGAATCGGTACAGGGACCGATAAATATCAACATATATGATACGAACGTTGCATAGATACGGAAAGCCGCCAAGTGCACTGTTGTCCTGTTGACCCGACGCGAAATTTGGGCCACGCATTTTGAACCGTTTAGAATTGAAGCAACGAATCTCGCTGTTGCCTACGGCATGACATGGACCAGACGGGCTTTGGCTCGAGTCCAACAGGATTTCGCAAAAAACCTTACCTACCAGTCGTGCAGGACGGCCTTTGCGGCATTTGCGGTCACATATGACTTGATGCTGGCACCGCTGCATTGCACTGCATTGCTGTGTTGGGCTATTTGTGTAACCGACCCCTTTAGCAAATTGACTGTTGATGCATCTGTTGTTACGTTCATGTGGAAGCTGTTGGGACTGACAAATGCGGCCTGAAAATCGCCAACCTCACGCGTGGCAACTTAACCTTGCGGTGGGCACCCAAGCCATGGCGCGAACATGAAAGACAGACTTGCGCGCCGTTTCTGGGTCCTGTACGCCCAGCAGAGCTGGGATACTGGGCCCATTTGAAAGTGCGAAGTAATGTGGATGCGGCTCCTGTCTGTGCAGATACATGCCTGAACGCCCTCAGGCACTTCCCCTTGCTTACATCATTTCGTTGCGCATGGTATGTGTTGAATCAGGACCATGTCCTGAGGCAAATGCCAAGATTCCAAGATGTGCGTGCTGCAACAAAAATTGGCATGCAGTGTTTGGGTGTCAATCCATGGACGAGGACAGCAGGTGATCTCACACACACAGGCCCACACAAGCATAAACACACGCACACGCATACCCACCCACACAAACACTCGTGCAATCCTCCCTCTGGACTGATTTAGCATACATGATAGCAGTGTTTTTAACACAGAGGAGTAGGACTTGAAGAGGATTTTGGCTTAGCCTCTCGCCATCTTGCAGACACACACCCTATGCAAGTACATAGCAGCTTCTCTGTTCAGGTTCTGGGCTTAGCCTGGCGCCATACA